ATTTACGGGGGGGGGGGGGGGGTTAAAGTCGAAGATGGAAGCGGAAATGGGTAGTAGTTTTTAAGGTTTTAGGGTTTTTGAGGAGATGTCGTTTATGTATAGTAAGGTTAGAGCGAGGGCATGATATCTCGTTTGGTGCATGTGCGAGTCAATGACGTTGGGAGAGAGATAGCCTTGTATAATTTTTATTAGGAAAAAACGCATTGAAGCCGCCATTTATTACATTCTCATGAAACGCCCCGTTTAACTTATAGAAATTGAAAACTGAATCAAGAGAGCACAAAATAGCATTCAACAAAGACCATCTGTCCCGCTTATTCTTCCTCCCCAGACGATCCAGCCAGATCTACATCTCCATCCTCGTCCTCGTCATCATCCTCCTCGCTGCCCGCACCATCAGCATCCTCCATATCCACGTCTCCCTTCGCCGCGCGTTTCTTCTGATCATCCCTCCGGCTCTGCTCAAGCAATTTAACCCTCTCATCCTTCTGCTTTCTCTGGGTCTTCACAAACGCGCCCAACGGCGTCGTTTCCCACTCTACATCCTTCAGGAACCCTTCGACCTCCGCGCGGTCCCGGGGTGCAAACGTGACCTTTGACCGCCGCTCTTCGATCCACCGACTATTAGCCTCCAGCTTCTGCACAACTAGCACGATCATCTGGTTAACTTTTGTATTCTTGTTCCCCGATGTGCGGGAGGATACTTCCTTTAACCAGCGCTTGAGCATGACGATTACTGGCAGCGAGAGTTCGGGGAAGGCGATGTTTTTGGCCCACAGGATGAAGAATTCCGAGAGCAGTTCTGCGACTTCGGCGCCCACGCCGTCTTGGTAGATGCGGGTTCGCAGGTAGGATTTCGGGGCGCGGATGCTCGTGGCGAAGTCGAGGGGGCGGACGGTGCTGGATTTTGGCGGTTTTCTCATTTCGGCGGAGTTGAGGACTTCCAGCAGGGCGGCTGCGAGGGGGATGTACGTTCCGGTTGCACGGGAGATACGGAGGAGGGATCGCGTAAGCTGGAAGCGTAGAGGGAAGTATTGTGCTGTGGGGATCAGGCGCATCGCTCCCAGGGTGATTTGAACGACGGGGTAGATAAGTGGTCGTAGAGGGGATGCTTTCCCCGCAGTGGCTTCCACAATGGCATCGCAGTGAGACGACAAAACTCTGGACCAAAAGTCCAATGAATGCACGTACTGCCAGTTATATACAGTTTTGTAGGAGTCTTTCGATGGATGTGTTATGCTGCTTCGTAGATGCATGGCCAGTTGTCTGATAAAACTGAAGCCGGTAGTATAGGAGACATCCTGGTCGATTCCCCAAATCTCGGCTGCAGAGTTCTTGATCAGGTTTACGCCGGGGAGAGTGTGGACGGTTGTATTTCGGCTGCCTTTAACTACCCCTTCGTATGTGGCCTTCAGAACTGCTGAGCGGATTCCAGCATCTCCAATCAACATTAAACGACGGACGATCAGAAAGGCGGTGATTCTGGTAGCTTCGGTGCTGGCGGAATCCGACCAAATGCCGACGACGGTTTTGAGGACGACTTTCAAGAGCTTCCTGAATGGGAGGAGATAGGGAAGCATTGGCTCAACAGATGCCAAGGTCAACTTCAATGCTGCTGCGTCGGACAGATTCATAAGAAGCTGATGGATGGAAGATGCGTGTGATTTGATTAAAGGGGTCAAGGTCTTGAACTTTTTCGAATCCATGGAAATTCTGATTTTCCCCCCCGCACTCTCCTTGGTCGGCAGATGGTGATTCAGAACCTTAGGGACGTATTCTAATGCCGTGAGAAGAACCTGGTGGTAAACATCCGCGTCTGAAATGGTGTATTTCCGGTCCTTAGAATCCGCTTCGTTCATGTACGCAGCTGACCTGAAAGCCAAGACTGCTTGTCGAGTTGCCCTCATGGAATGTTGCTCAATCATTGATTTCTGCCATTGCTTAACCATGGACAAATTAATGGTATTGCTCGTGTCGCCTTCTTGGACATCTTCGGGAGCTTTAGCCTTCTTCTTCTTTTTGGGGTGAGCCTCTTCTTTTTCACCTTCCTCGGCATCGCTAAGAGCATCAACCTCAGCGAGGTCCCCATGGTCTCCAAATTCGAGCAACTCGGCATCGTTTTCTTTAAGGTATTTGTAGAATTCAGGGTCTTTATCCTTCAGGGCCTCCAATTGTTCCATATGGGCATCCATGTCGCCAATGTCGCTACCCTCTGCCGCGGTGCTGCCCTCGTCGTTATCGCTCTGTGCAAATGATTTCTGGTCCGCTTCTTGTTCTTCTATTTCAGCAGTGCGCTTCCTTTTCCCAGTCTTCGGTGCAACTTCCTTTTTCTTAGAGGATTTGGGTTTTTTACTGGGAGCGGCATCTGGCAAGTCGAATCCACCGGCGAAGAAGTCATCGACGTTCATCTCAGCAAAGGAATTCTTCTCCCCCTCTGCTGTAGGTTTGCGACCATCGCCATTCTGCTGCGCCTTTTCATCCACTTTTTCAGCATCCTTTTGTTTATTCTGCTGTCTCTTTTCCTTCAGGCGGTGTCGTTGCTTAACCTTTGCAAATTCCTTGCGGCGCTCGATAGTATCCCGGAGGTGGTTCTTCTCGAACTTTTTGGTGGCCTTTTTCGCGGAGCCTGCCATGCTTGAATGAAATAGACAGGGTGACTGAGCTAATTGGCCGTATCAGTCACTGCGAATATTCGAATATTGCCAATATATACACTGTTGCCGATATATCCGCAGCACACTATCCTGTTGTTCGGTCTTGCGTCTTGTTTATCAGAAAATGATTTTTTTCCTCGGCGCAGAAATAACACGCACGGACCACACGCCCATCCTTAGCTAATCCAGCAGACTTTCCTCTTTGGGCCAGCTTCTGCGAGCGCGACCAACCGCCAACAATAATGTTAGATCAACCTTTGCATTCATAGATAGCTACAGACATTCCGCCATGTATCAGCAACGCCCGCTGTCTTATGCGCCTACGCCATACAGTTACACTCCAAATACGGCGTTGTCGGCATCTATTAATCTGGATGAGGTATGCGCCTGGACCAGACGTTGTTCTGATGTTCATTCTAACATGCACACCGAACAGGAAGTCAAACTATCCTCTACCTCCGCAGAGAGAGACCTCTACGAATCTCTAGCAGAGATCTACAGCATCATCCTGACGCTGGATGGGCTGGAGAAGGCCTACATTAAAGACGCAATCACGGAGTCTGAATATACCGAGACGTGCGCGCGGCTGTTGAAACAGTACAAGTCCAGCTTGAGTGATGAGACCGTTGCTAAGGAGTTTGTTGATCTAGATACCTTCAGGCAGACATGGGGTGTATGTCGTCTATTTTCCTGATTAATTATAGCCGCCATGTGTTCTCTTGCATGGACAGTTTAAAGGAAACTAACTCTTCTGTAGCTGGAATGCCCCAGGGCAACGGAGAGACTAAGAATCGGAGTTCCTGTCACCGTTGAGCAGGCATCGCACAGTGCCGCACCTGTACCCAGTGGCACCGGCACGAATACATCTGGCAGTCTGATTCTAGCGGCAACAGAAAATTTCATCACGTTTCTAGATGCTCTGAAACTGAACATGGTGTCCAAAGATGCTCTCCATCCACTGCTTTCTGAGATTATACAATCTGTGAATAGAGTAACCGACCAGGATTTCGAGAACAGAGGGAAGATTATACAGTGGCTCATTGCGCTTAACCAAATGAGAGCGACGGAAGAGCTGAGTGAAGATCAGGCAAGAGAACTTGCTTTTGAAATCGAACAGGCCTACCAGGGTTTTAAAGATACACTGAGTTGAAATGCCTTCAATTTGATACCACCCAGCGCCCATGTGTTGTTACGTTACTACAATACATATACGGAGGGCTTACGAACACCTCGTCATTTAACCGCAGAATCGATGGCCCTTCCTTTTTTCTTCTTTTTTTTCCCTGAATATATCCCCTACCGACGAATGATGTCCCACCGCTTGTTTATCGATAAGGTTTCGCCGCCCAACGCACGGACCACATTTTATTTTTGGTATCTTTTTTTCCTTCTGCACTATATATACGGCATATTTCTCTGCACTCCCACTGTATAAATACCGGGTTATTATTCTAGTTTATTCTTTAGCTGTTATGCTTTGTTTTGATTTATTTCTATATCCCCATTCTCTATTACCCTAGGTTGTCTCTGAACAGGAGTCGCACAACACAAGTCTGCCCAACAAGTCAAGGTCGGCAGATCGCCGCCCGGGCTTTCACTGATTTAAAATGACCATACCCGGCGATTCGAAGCCGCTTCATGGTAAATACCTTGATTTGGGTGTTCTATCTGCAGAAACTGGAACTAACTGCTCCGGGGTGCCCGCCTACATAGTCTTCGACCTCCCACAGCTTTACACGAAACCAACAGCAGCCGATATCCTGCGAGCTTTAGAGCAGCTTGCTGTCCGACCACGCAGCTTCAGCAACAACGATGGCGCCGCTCAACTAGTAATTCTCCAAACCGGTATTTCCCACTACCTCACATCCATCATCGCCAGCGCATTATCATGGATTGACTCCGATGAGCTCCGCGAAACCATCTGGGACGCCGCCAGCGCCCGCCTCTGTGAACGCTCGGGAAGAACTGGTAATTCTAGCTGCTCTGCCGTTTTTCATTAATCAGCATCGACTAACATTATTCTGGCAAACAGCCATGCCATCTATTTCCCGCGTCTTCACCATCCCTATGACCCAGCAAACAAATTTCCAACTAACTCTCCATGAACCCTCCCTCACCTCGGATAACCTAGGCATGAAAACATGGGTCTCGTCTTACCTACTCGCCAAACGCCTCCACACTCTCCTCATACCATCTTCCTCCCTTGTTCCATCGCGAGCCAAAAAGAACCGGCCCCTCCGTGCCCTCGAGCTAGGCGCCGGAACTGGATTGGTCGGACTCACCTTCGCGGCCCTTTGGGGCGCCGCCGCTTCCATCCACCTCACTGATCTGGACTCCATCTTGCCAAATTTAGCTCACAATGTCGAATTAAACGAAGACCTGCTCCTAGAGACGGGGGCGACCGTATCAACGGGTGTCCTGGATTGGTCTTTGGAGACTCATCCGCGCCCCGCGCCAACTGAGGACGAACGATGTGACGTTATCCTTGCTGCGGACCCCTTGTACTCCCCCGACCACCCGCGGTGGCTTGTGCAGACAATCCAGCGCTGGCTGTACCAGGATGCTGAGTCGAGGGTGGTGGTTGAGATGCCATTGAGAGATGCTTACTTGCCACAAGTAGAAGATTTTAGGCGGCGGATGGAGGCGGCGGGATTAATCGTTCTGATGGAGGGGGAAGAAATTGGGTTTGATGATTGGGAGGGGAGTGATGGGGAGGCGCTAGAGGTGCGGTGCTGGTGGGCTGTATGGGGATGGAGAGATGCAGCTTAAAGCTGGACAGGACTGCGCATGATGGCTAAGAGTTTATGATTAGAAGACATCTTTGGGAGAGCGCGGTTTGATTTATTAGATTAGCAAAATTAGATTTATAGAATTATAGAAAATATAGATTGGTTATACCCCTGAACCAATGTGTACTGTGTATGTGTGTGCGTGTGCACTGTCAGATCCCACTTTTTCAAAAACCATGCAAGTAATTTGCTGTATGATGTCATGTGTTAGATCGCTCGGAAATTTATATTTCACAGATATTAAATCAATCAATTAGATATAATATAACTATTTCGTATATATTGGCTTATCAAATAGATATTGTAACACCATAACTTCAATAGCTTCCACCGGATCAAATCATACGCAAAACACGCAGTTATGGTTATAGGCCTCCTCACAATAGCATCTATCCCAACCGTCATCGGCGTTTGCGAAGGAGTGAGCGAGTAGAAGAAAGCAAATAAGCGCAAATCAGACGAAAAGCGCCTGGAGAAATTTTACATCGATGTTTTCTGTGAGGCGAATTCCGAAGAGGCGAGGCAGTTACATGGTCGGAGGGTAGTATTAAGGGATAACAAGGTACGTAAGGAGGTCTGATCTAGGGTTACCTCTCAACGGGACCTAGAGAAAAACGAGCGCTATAAAACTAATAGAAAAAAAAAAAAAAAAATCAGGTCTACCTTGATTCTGCGGCGTCTGACTCGCGCTCCATCCCCAGCCACACAGCCGAAGCCTTCTATATCAGCTACCCAGACGAGGAGCGTGAACCAACCCTCGGCCTCGTCAGCACCGTCTCCGTCGACCCGCCGATGCTCAATTGGATCTATGTGGATAAAAATACATTTGAGCTGAGATATGGAAATCGGACGCAGAGTCGCGAGCACCTTGTCGGGCCCTGGGATTGGACGGAGGATCAGGTTGGGGTAACGGTGCAGGATATCGAGGGATTTGTAGCTGTGGAGGAAGAGGAGGGGGTTTGGGCAGTGTACTTTGATGCGAAGGGGGGATGAGTTGAAGTGGAGGGTTGGGGGAAAGAAGAAAGTTGTGGAGATTAGTTTGGAGAGGCGGTTGTTGAACCCGAAGGAAGAGAAGCAGGGAGAAGAAGGCTGAAGGTGTGAGAGTTTCGGTTCGATTTATAGGAGCTATGGAGTTTTTCAGTCCTAGGCGTCCGGTTATAGGCATATATGTAATATACATATATTCAAAATGCTTGCTTAGTCTTCGATTCCACCCCACGACCCGTTATCGCTTGCATTTCCTCCCTCGTCTGCCTGCCCTTCATACTTCCGCCGTTTGCTGGCCTTAGCTGCATCTCTCCGGTTATGTTCCTTTCGCCGCTCAAATCCACTCTTCGTACTGATCCGGGTTCTTCTCCGGTCCTTATCATCCTGCTCCCCCTTCTTCGTCATCGGCCGCCTGACCCGTACACCATGTTGCTTTAGATCCTTCTTGTCCTTCTTGGACAGATTAGGTAATGCATCTAGTAACCATTTCTGGATCCCTTTATCTTCAGAAACTCCCCGTAATTTCTCACTGGCAGCGATAACATTCGCGATATTTTTCACATAAGGGATGTCCTCTTTCGTGTAGAAAGTAACCGCTACTCCACCCTCACGTCCAGCTCGTCCTGTCCTGCCTACGCGATGGACATATGAGGCGCTAGAATTGGGAATGTCATAGTTCACAACGCCGTTGATCCCGCGGAAATCCACCCCGCGCGAGAGCAGATCGGTTGTGATGAGGATCCATATTTCGCCTTTGCGGAAGCCCGCCATGACGTCAGATCGTTGCGAGTCAGAGAGTTCAGAATGTAGAACGGCGATGCGTGAAGAACCGCCGGCTTCAGCAGGGATATCGTACTTCAATTCGGAGTGTAGTGCCACAGCTCTTGAAATGGTTTGCGTGAAGACCAAGAACGGAGGTCGTAGATGGGTGTCTGAGGTGGAACCTCCGCCCTTGGGATGTAGAAGTTGTCGTAGTCCCAGAAGCTTCCCTTGTTCAGTCGCCGCGTAGACAAGTTTGTGGGAGATGTTGGGGATGGCGGTATCTTTCAGTCCAACAACCAGGCGGACCAGAAACGATTCAGAGCGTAGTCCTAGTGATTGCTGGCGTTCGCCAATAGTGGACTTGGCAAGCTCTTCGATGCTAGACCCCATTGTCGCGGACCATAGCCCAACTCTAAGTTGGGCATTGGTGCACGCGCTCCATACATTTAGGGTTTGGTCACGGAACAGAGGGTCTAGGAGTACGTCGGCCTCATCAAGTACAACGCTTCGTACTGTTGGTAGAGTGGCGGTAGAGTGTTTTTTGTTACCGGAAAGAGAATTTGCAAGTAACAGGGGAGTTGAGACCAGAATATCGCTTTTTGTGATAGGGGCCTTTCCTCTAGGTCGCTTTATCTTTCTGGCTTCATCATCTCCGTCTTCGGAGCTCCCGCTTTCCTCACCCGAAGGAGCTTCTTCTTCCCCTTCCGTATCCTCCACAACTCGCATTCCCTTCCGCATGGCTGTGATTTTAACACCAGTGCCCACCATGAGCTTTCTGCCCTCGTTTACAATCTGAGAGACAAGCTCCTTTGTCGGAGCCAAGATGATTGCAAACAACTCCCTCGACTGGGATTTGTCTTGGTGGTGATGTCGCATTATTTTATTGATGAGCGGAATCATGAACGCTAGTGTTTTTCCACTGCCAGTAGGTGCAACGACCAATAGATCCGGTTCAAGCGCGGGTTGGACTGACTGGACCCCGTTCTCTTGGTTTCGCGCACTTGCGCTTTGACAATCCCCAAGTAACAATGGAAGTGCTCCGAGCTGGACCTCAGTAGGCACGCTGTATCCTTGGTTGACAATGTTTTCTGACAGCCGCCGAGAAATCTGATATCTTGTTCTCAACTGCTGGAATGATACCAGTGGTTGGGGATACATCCTCTGAGCCTTCCTCTGCTGTTTTCGGCTCAGAACAACGGGAGGTTGTTCGTCATTTTGCTTCTTTTTCCGCTTCTTCGACTTTTTTTCATTTTCCGCCACAGGGGGTGGTGTTCGAAGGTCTGTTACTTTGATCTTGTGCGCCGTTAAGATCGCTTTCCGTTCCTCCTCACTCAGTGGGGCTTCTTTTGTAGCAATTCCACCTGCAACATCTCCCTTCTGTTCATCATCCTCATTTTGCTTTCGCCTTGCTGTTTTCGCATCGCTGCTAGAGAATCCAAGAGCTGAAGGTCCAGAGCCAAAAAAGTCAAGAGTCACAGCCGTAGAATCTGCGGAGGCTTCATTCCCATCTAATCCTCTCTTTCGTTTCCTCCCTTTGGATTCACTCTGTTCGTCGTAAGCTTCTGCGGCGTCGAGTCCATGGCGACGAGAAAATAGCTGTGGGGATTCAGCTTCGCCGGCTGACGGTAAAAAGTTTGATATCGCCTGCTCTCTGGAAACGGGACCCGGTTTAAGTTTTGTCGACCGGGTGAGGAGCTTGAAGGCATCCATCTCTACTAATCTGATCACTGGTCACTGCCTAGATTTGCATTGCCCTGCTGTCATTGATTTCGCGCTGAGAATGAATTGTTCGCTGTTGATCGTTTTAAATTTCTTCGAGCATTGGACATAGTCACGTGATCAAAAAACTGTTCCCGGGATCAAGGTTTGCGACAGAGAAATGAAGGACTGCACTCCTAAACACGAGTTTACGAGAAATTGGGATTGCGAAGACAAAATATTTAAATGAGACAGCTATGTTCAATCAAAGGAAATCTAATTTTGAAGGATTTAATCTGACAACAAAATTACACGAAGGGACCCAAGCAGGCGACTCAGCGACCACAGACCAGCTTGGAATTCCATCGTCTATCATACAGCCGGAGGAGAATACGAGAATGGACAAACAAAAAGAGAGTTAGGAGAGAGATATGTTGCAGAGATTTTTAAACGAAAAAACGGGCCTAATTTATCTAATGCGCATGTGCAGTCTCCCCCCGATATCCTACAAGCTTGAATCGCCCGATAATCTCGCCGACGGAGAAAAAGCCAATTACTTCTGCAGTCGTGACACCGACAATGGCCAGTTGCTTTTTATCGACGTTCCGGAGGGAGAGGAGGAAAGATTCTGGGTTGAAAGACTTAGAAATCTGTGACATGAAGGTCTTTGGCTGGCGGAGAGATCTGAGGAGAGGCTGGTAGTATCCTGTGAAAGTGGCCACGCTTCTAAATTTGTACAAGTTAGGTTAGCAATAGATTTCCACATTTGGTAAAACGGATTCCAGCAAGGCTTACGGCGGGGACATATTCTGTCCTCTGAACACTATTTTCGACAGCTCCAAGCCAACTCTGGAGTAGTAAATTGTGGGAGGTATTAATGCTGGATCAAGTCGGTTTTGGTCAGCATTTTAGATGTTAAATCGAGGCAGAAATCTCAAGCAAAACATTAAAATATCTCCGTTGAGATCTTCAATGATAGTCCCAGAAATGGCGATCCTTGTAGCAAAGAATTGGGTTCTTACAGTCGACGAAAGCGATGAACCTTCCCGTTCGCCCACCTACTCTCCTGAGGGCTCCACCAAGCCCGGAGAGAGCATTGCTAATAGCAGGGCCAGCAGTGGCAGCAGCCTTGGAAATACCGGCAGATGCTTTTGACGCCGCAGAAGTGGCAGCGTCTTTGGATTTAGAAGCAGCCTCGGCCGTTGTTGAGGCAGATCTGAAGGCGGGTTTCCGGATCAGATATCGCGAATGCCGCAGAACGGCGCGGGATGTTGTGGCGGACATAGGGACCGTGGGGATGCGAGCAAGCCGTAGAAAAGAATGACAGACAACGGCGAGGGAGGCCCTGGAGAAGAGGATGGCTCTCAATGGCAGCGGGGTGGAGAGCGATAGCCGGCGTCGTTGACTGGGTCCGAGTTGGATAATTGTTTGAATTTTGGACTTCGGGAAGTTAAGGGAAAAAAAAGGAATGCTTGGTCATCAGTCACGTGATGGTGATGAGGCTCCTGTTGGGGGTCCCGCGGTTGGTCGGCCCTTCTACCAGCAGGCGCTGGTGGTGATTGAGCTCTTTTGCCCCAGTAGCCTACAGCTCCTTTGTTTATATTATCTCAGCAAGCTCAGACGCTTCTCCAGATATTCATTGCTGTTTTAACACTGGATTGATGATTATGTCATGAGCTAACCTCAAATAAGCAATAAGCTAATCTAAATAGTAAAATCAGGTCATGTGAGTAATAATATCTTACAAAGTATCTGAGAAGAAACAGTTTCTGATTATTAGTAACACAGAAATGATTTACTCAGTACTCTGAGTATGAAAGAGAATTTTAACTTAACTTCATAGATTCATTATTTCTGTATTATCTTAGAATCTTAGAATAATAATATTCTTGTAATATATCTGATTTTTATATTCATATCTCAAGTTCTTAGAATAGAAGTATCATTTTAAAGTTAATCAGTGTGTTTTTAAATACAGGAATTTTAATTCAATTTCTTATATAAAAAAAAACTCTTAGAAATTCTGAGATTAAAAAATATAATTATTTTCAAGAGTATATATCTATCTTAAATATAGATTTTTTTGAAATATTAAAGAAATATTTCTATTCTTCTTCTCTTTAGCTATAAGCTAAGGTGATTTTTAAATCTTAAAGATATGTGAGTATATAGTAATAGAAAGTCAAAGTTGAAGAATCTGAAAAATCCTTATAAATCTCAGGAGTCTTCATTGAAGATGGAACTGTTTCTTCTCAGATCCTCTGGTGAGGATTGCTCTGAGCACATGACTTGTATCAAAAGTAGATTAGTGTCATACTGGATTAGTTAATAATAATGCTGCAACCCGTTCAAACCGAGCCAGAGGGTCTGAGCCCGCTGAGATAATGTTTATATGGGAACCTACTCCTCCTTTTCGAGCTGACTTCGTTTCCCTTTAATATTATATTATGTATATATATTCCTTTTCAGCCACGATGATCTTCTTAATGGATCAGAGAACAGACTCTAGCTGTTGGGTCTCATGGCTGAGTAGTGACAGTGAGCTTCTTCATCTGCAGAGTCAGTCTCTGAAGGTTGACTATCTGTACCTGTCAATATCAGAGGACGTCGCAGCACAACCTTGCATGACATTAACTTGAATGTCTTTCAAATTCCGGGTTGTTCCTTTACTGAACCATAGACCAAGTTTACGGCCTGGCTTGGTGACGGGTACTATACAATGGGTATAAGTCCCAACGAGCTCACCTTTGTTGTGGAGTCGTATTGAGAGAACGCACAGGGAAGGACTTTGAAGAAGCATGAATACCTCAAATTTGAAAGCTTCATTATCATTCAACCCATCCTACAATTCCCGAATGCCTCAACGGATATTATTTAACTATTAAACGTCTAGAGATTCTTTCAAACCTATTTGCCAAAGTCAGCTTTCAATACCCCTTACGTTCCCTCTGGAATATTCTTTCAGATTCGTTCTTTCACTACGATCTCGCCAGCCATGGAATTTTGCCATGGATTCACAATGGAACAAGGTGGGTTTTCTTTCTTGTCTATCGCGTTACTTCCTATAAGTGCGTCTATAGCAGAACCCATAGGACGGGAAATTACACTATCGGAAATCGATAATGGTTCAAATGTCCCAAGTAATATTCGACAAGCCATATCCCCTGCCGCAGAAGCGGTCGTGGAAGTTGACTGCACTGCAACGGCTACTTAGCCGTTTCTACCAGAAGCGCAGAGATTCACGCCATGAACACACAGGCCTCCTCTCCAGAGGCAGAGATAGATTCCCTGGCGCAGTAGACACTTCACATCACTTCCTTTATAAACGCCACAAACTTGAATCACCACCGGGCTCGGCTCCATTAAACCTACACCCGAGAAGCCATGACCGCGATCGAAGGAGACAAAACGAAAATTCTAGTTCAAGTCTATTTGTTGAACCGTCTAGAGGGCTATGCCCTTCAACCCTATGCATTGCACTCACCGATGCCACGGATATTTCACGAAGTACAGGATTACGAAGAACAAACAGCGTTCGAAACCTGAGAGTTTTAGTGCATGAAGCAGCTATTGCCGCAAAGGCCGACATTAAGGCTACTTGTAATACGAGTACAGTGTCTGTCCCCGAAATGCCGACGAAATTCTTAATAGATTTTCTCGAGGGTAGGGCTGCAATCGAAAACTTGGACCATTTCAATGCTTTTCTCATTGTCAGCACTACGGCCCAAGGAGATCGTGTCCTCTACGCATCGGAGGGCCTATGGTCAGGTGAAGATTTCGAAAATGAAGAACACTTCTTGCATCACAAACGCGCGCTGGACCAAACGAACGATATTATCACCGAGATCGCCGACGATGGGAGCGAGCGGATGCATCTTATGCTATTCGGAGGACTCCCATCTACAGGAGGGCGCACCGGCCTTGTTCTCGCATCACTCATCGACGTAACCAATTTTCTCGACGCCCTCACTTATAGTGATCTCGAAATTGACGTCCTTATACGGCATATCAATTCCACGAGTCCCCAGGATGTAGGCCCAGAAAACAAACCGGAAAATCCATCAGAGACCTCGGACGTCATGCGGCAGCTGGTAAATCATGTCGCTAAAAGTATCCTGGCGCTTTACAAAGATTACTTCATCCTCTCCCAGTCTGCGAATGCGCCGGGGTTTTATGAGATTTCCCATGTTTCGCCTAACCTCTACGTCGATGGGGAATATGTGACTGGCCACCTGAGTCATACTCCGCAAGACGTGATAAGTCGAATTAGCCTAATGATGGGGCAAGGCAAACGCTTTTTTCTCGAAGTTAAATGGGGCAGTCATGGGAGAGAAAAGCGACTGTATTGTATCCCTATGTTGAGTATGGGTCGCCGGCGCTGGCTCTGCATGCTGGTCGATCTAATCCATCCTATTCTGTGGCAAGAAGAATAGACGAAATGTCCAGCACGGCTCCTGGACACATCGATAAATTTCAGTCTCATAGAGAGAAAGTCCCAAATGTAGATGAACCGGGCACAGCGTTGTTCCCCTGAATGTGCATGGGCTAAACATGGCACGACGTCACCGCGATAAGCTTCGTGCCGAGAAGAACCTTGAACCAGCAAACTTTAGCCTTGTTGTTCTTCACCATCAATGATTACACAGCTTCCTCTTGCAATTTCGATTCAAAAATGCCCATGTCATTTATCCCGACTTTCTCCACTTCTTTCACTTTACTATTTCCCTGATTTTGTGGGTCAAATTGCGAGTGCGTCACAATATTATACCTCCATTCGCTGCCCCTCATCGCACCCCACACCTCTGCATTTTGTCTAGCTATGTGTTTATCAAACCTAGATGAAACACCAACAACACTCCTATAAATTCCTACTCACATGATTGCTGCAAAGAACCAAGAGAGAGAAGGAAAGAAGAACCATCTTCCACTTATTGCTTAATGCCACATTGTTAAACATGCCCAACTTCACCGCGCCTTCCAAGCCAAATATAGGAGTTTATACCAACCCAAACCATGATCTCTGGGTGGCAGAAGCCCAACCATCTGTTGAGGATGTGGCCTCTGGAAAGAGCCTGAAGCCTGGCGAAGTCACAATTGAGGTCCGAAGCACAGGTATTTGTGGGTATGTGAGAGTACCATCCGCAAGCGCTTATATGCAATCAGCATATGGACAACTGTCAAACGCCATCCCCCCCTTCACTATGACAAAATTTAACTAACCATAAACATTCCCTCTCAGCTCCGACGTCCATTTCTGGCATGCCGGCTGCATAGGACCCATGGTCGTAACGGACAACCATATCCTCGGCCACGAGTCCGCCGGCACAATCCTTGCCGTCAGCCCTGAGGTCACCTCCCTAAAGCCCGGCGACCGCGTCGCCATCGAGCCTAATATCATCTGCAACGAGTGCGAACCATGCCTTACAGGTCGTTACAACGGCTGCGAACATGTGCGCTTCCTATCCACACCACCCGTCGACGGACTGCTTCGCCGCTATGTCAACCACCCGGCCATCTGGTGCCATAAGATTGGGGATATGGACTTCGAAGACGGTGCACTACTGGAGCCGCTTAGTGTGGCGCTCGCGGCGGTTGAGCGGGCTGGTTTGCGGCTGGGCGATGCTGTGGCTGTGGCCGGGGCAGGACCGATTGGTCTTGTTACGCTACTCTGTGTGCGGGCGGCGGGGGCTACTCCTATTGTCATCACGGACATTGATGAGGGACGGTTGAGATTTGCGAAACACCTGGTGCCGGATGTGCGGACGTATCGGGTGCGGTTAGGTGATTCGCCTGAGACGACGGCAGCTGGAATCATAAACGAAATGAATGATGGGGTGGAATGTGAAGCTGATACGCTACGGCCGTCACTTGTGATTGAGTGTACGGGCGTTGAGAGCAGTGTTGCTGCGGCAATTTGGAGTGTGAAGTTTGGTGGTAAAGTGTTTGTGGTTGGCGTTGGGAAGAATGAGATGACGATTCCGTTCATGCGGGTCAGCACTTTTGAAATTGACCTGCAATATCAATATCGGTATTGCAACACGTGGCCCCGGGCTATACGGCTGGTGCGCAATGGAGTGATCGACTTGAAGAAGCTAGTTACCCATCGTTTTACTCTGGAGGATGCTGTAAAGGCATTTCAAACAGCTGCGGATCCGAAAACGGGGGCTATCAAGGTGCAAATAATGAGCTCTGAAGAGGATGTTAAGGCTGCGAATATTGGCGCATAAGGGGCTCTGCTTATTTCGAATGGCTACAGCGTGATATCCTTTCGGGGCATTGCACTATCATTCAATACAGTCCAGATATAAACCTGAAGGGAACCCATGAGTATGTACAGGAGTTCGCCAACAATCATGCATCCAGTGGGCAACTAGTTAGCCTGCAGCAAGAAACCATGCGGTTCAATAATATCCCTAATTCCCTTGGCTAAGCTCCCCTCTAAGGTTCTTATACACAACCTCTTCAAT